CTAGGGGGTGCCAGATCCAATCCAGCCCCAGGGCAGGGGGACCGGCTGGCTCAGGGCAGCGGGGACGGGATAGATCAGGTTGGGGACTATCTGTGGTCACTGCAGTGGCATTTGGGGAGTTACACAAGAGAGCATGTGAACAGCATTGTTTTCACTGTCTGTCCTGTAATCACTCACCAGGCGCCGGTGGGGTTCGAGGAGGTGGCCGTGTATTTCTCCCGGGAGGAGTGGGGGCTCCTGGACGAAGGGCAGAGGCAGCTCTACAGGGACGTCATGCAGGAGAATTACCAGACTCTGATCTCGCTGGGTGAGGCGCTGGTGCCCTGCTCCCTGGGGATGTGTGTGTGTGTGTGGGGGGGCTTATGCACCCAGGGCGGCTTCAGCTCATGATTCTCCCCGAGCCCTATAGATTTCTGGGGGTGTGGCCCCTGCCAGACCCCCATCTCTTACCACTGAGAAGATGTATTTTATTTATATGGCTCTAGCACCTTATATATTAAGTGTATTATGGTAATCCCTAGGAACCCCAGTCACGGGCCAGGACCGCATTGTGCTGGGCACTGTACATTATTTATTAGGTGTACTACGGTAATGCCTAAGAAACCTAGTCATGGGCCGGGCCCCCACTGTGCTTGGCGCTGCACAGACCCAGAACAGAGACAATCCCTGCCCCATGGAGCATAATGCAGAGCCCTGACTCCCTCACAGGGGGCACAGCCCACCTGCCCACAGGGGTCCCTGTGAACTTTCCCCCTCCACTCTGATCCCATGTCCCCCCCCAGAGAGCGGGGCTGGGATTAAAATCAGGGCGCGTTCTCTGCACCAAACCCTTAGGGGAGATTTCACCGAGCCCCATCTCGCCTGTTTCTTTCCCCCGAGCAGGATTCCCCGTCCCCGACCCGGCCGTGATCTCCTGGATGGAGCCAGGGGAAGAGCCGAGGGTCCCGGATCTCCAGGGCTCTGAGGAAACCGAGATCACCCGCACAGGTGAGGAATGAGGGACACCGGCTGGGAGCGAAGGGAAAAGCTGGGATCCCAGCCAAGCCAGCGGGACCCCCCCAGGTCTGTCTGCACTCGCTCTGTATCGTCCCCAGCAGCTTCCTGTCCTCACAGCAGGTGTCTCTCCTGGATCCCACCCCTGGCAGGAGCCCTCCCCTTCCCCAGCCTTTCTCTGAGGGCTCAGCTGGGATTTTGGGGCAGCCCTGAGGAAGGGTTTGGGGGAGGATTTGCTTCCTGCCCATCAGGTTTTCTGCTCAGTGACAAACCCCTTTGCTGCCCCCTCTCTCCCCGGCGCAGGGAACAAGTCCCGGCTGGATTCTCTTCAGGAATCACTCTGTGAAATTTTCTCAATGTGTTCCCTGAAGGACATCAGACTCCATGATCATGTTATGGTCCCCTTCTGGCCTAAAATCAGTGGGGCCAGATCCCCGGAGGGTGTAAATCAATGTCGCTCTGCTGGAGTCAGTGGGGCCAGATCCCCGGAGGGTGTAAATCAGCATTGCTCCACAGGAGCAGTCGGTAACGGGGCTCTGCCCGTTTACACCTTCCTCTCTGAATCTCTCTTCCTTTCCCAGCAGGCGAGAGGCGCTGGAGGCGTAGCCAGGAGAATCCCATCCAGGGAAGCCTCAAGAGGCTGGAACCTCAGCAGACCTTCCCAGGGATAGCCCGGAAGTGGGCCATGCAGAACCCTAGCCAGAGCAGGGCTTGGGGGAGCCAGCAGGGGGTGCCCCCGCCTGGCAGATCTGCTACTTCTGGCCGCCAGGAGCGAGGCTTCGGCCGGCTCCTGGGCATCCTCTTCGAGCCCTCGGCCGTGGCAAGGCCGCCTCGGCCCAGGGAGCGCGGGAGGGCCCCTGGGCGCAGCAAGGGCTCCGGGAGGCCCTACGGCTGCACCGAGTGCGACAAGAGCTTCCGGCAGAAGCCGCACTTGGTGACTCACCTGCGCACCCACACGGGCGAGCGGCCCTACCTGTGCGCTGCCTGCGGCCGGGCCTTCGGCCAGAGCTCCAACCTGATCGAGCACCAGCGCACCCACGCCGGCGAGACCTGCTTCCGCTGCCCTGACTGCGGGAAGTGCTTCTGTCTCAGCTCCAACCTGGCACAGCACCGGCGCCTCCACGCAGGGGAGCGGCCCTACCGCTGTGCCCAGTGCGGGAGGAGCTTCTGCCACAAGCTCCAGCTGACCCGGCACTACCAGGGACACGCCGAGGAGGAGGCCGTTGCAGTGCTGAGCCTGGGACCCAAGGGGGCCGCCCCGGTGGTAGAGATCAGGGATGCACCGTGAGCCGGGGATGGGACACTGCCATTCCTGCGTTAGATATTGCCTCAGCTTTCTGCTGCAATGCAATGCTGCAGCTTCTGTAGCGCCAGGGTTGGGCCCTCTGCTGCAGTGGGATCCTGTGAAGGGTTCTGCAAGGCTCCAGGGAAAGTCACTGGCTGGCGTGACAGGGAGCTGAAAGAGCCGAGAATCGGGAGGGAGCGTTTATTGCTGCAGTCAGCAAAATGTCTTGTGATTGGTTAAGGATAATGGGATGGGGCTGCCACCACTTCTTGGCCACTAAAAGACTGTCAGACATGCTTAAAAAGAAACCCTACAGCTCAAAGGAAAGGGAATAAGGGGGACGGTAAAAATAAAAGCCTTACTTAAGACTTTACTTCTCACAGCCTTCACTGTTTTTCCTTCTTTTTGTGTATCTTTAATACAAGGATAAAGAGATTTGGTTGTTGTTGCCATGGGATGAAGTCAGCAGTAATTTGACATGAAACCCCAGACCGCTTTCAACTCTTTAGTGTTGAATGACGGTTTTAATCTTACCCCTTTTTGGACCTGGGACCCCCCTTTTCAGCACAAAAAGGGCCCTGAACAAAATTGGGATCACTAGACACTACTGGAATAAAGTGTACGGAAGGATTCATAGACTGTAAGGGACCATGAAATCATCTCCTCTGATCTCCTGTATAACAGGCCATACAACTTTCCTGAATTAATCCCTGTTTGAACTAGAGAAGATCTTTTAGAAAAGCATCCAATCTTGATTTAAAAATTGCCAGGGATGGGGAATCCACCACAGCCTTTGGTAAATTGTTCCACTGGTTAATTCTCCTCACCGTTAAAAAATTGCAAGGCTCTGATGCTTTTGTAAAACTGATTATTTTAATCACTAATAATCCCAGGAAATCCAGAGTTAAGAGTCCTGGAGAAATATTGGCACATCCCGATCTTGTGCATATTCATTGGAACAGGGCATCTCATCCCAGAGAAGGGAGAAAATGCTCCCTCTCTATGCACCTACAGAAACCTCCCTCTCTGAATTTCCTGTCTTTGGGATCTGATCACCAATGAGTGTCTGTTCTGATGATGTAATCCTTCGGGGTGGAGTGTCTCTGGATAAAAATGCCTTTGCCTTTCTTGGACAGTTTCAACCGAGCTCAGTGGAATTATCAAGTTGCAGTGGGGGAGGTCTAGGTTGGATATTAGGAAACACTATTTCACTAGGAGGGTGGTGAAGCACTGGAATGGGTTCCCTAGGGAGGTGGTGGAGTCTCCTTCCTTGGAGGTTTTTAAGGCCCGACTTGACAAAGCCCTGGCTGGGATGATTTAGTTGGGAATTGGTCCTGCTTTGAGCAGGGGGTTGGACTAGATGACCTCCTGAGGTCCCTTCCAACCCTGATATTCTGTGATTCTATTATTCTATTTCTGTTAAATAAACACAGTCGTTGATATCATTAAATATTAGCAGGCAAATGTATAGCGCGATCGAAAGACTGGGAGCTGAGAGGAGGTGAATTCCAACAGGAAATAAAGCTCTGATTTTTAACAATCCAGGTGATTAACCATAATTTATCCAGGAATGTGACGGATTCTTTTATCACTCGAAATCAAGACTGGACATTTCTCTTCAAAAGATCTAGCTCAACCAGCAGTTATGAGGTGGATGCAGGAGCTACTAGGAGAAATTTTCTGACCTGTGTTAACAGGTCAGCTTAAGATGATCCTAATGGCCCTTTCTTGCCTTAAAATGTATTAATCTATTATTACTCCACACGCACTAAACACACCTGACAGGGCTGAACTGGCCTAAATTAGAAGAGAATCTCCATGACCTTTTGGTACATTTGGGCAAAGTGAGTCTAAAACACAACAGATCAGATCCACCACTCACCTCCATGGGGGCATTTTACATTTGCTTTGCAACAAGAATAAGACACAACCCAACGTGCAGAGCAGGAGGGATTCATGCCGGCCGCATGCTTTCCTTTTTGCATTTCGAGCAGGTGAGGCAATGAATCGGGTCTAGTCAATTTCATTTTTGTTTCTAATCCATTTCACTTCCAGGCTCTAACATAATGGGGCGATCTCTGGGTTGCAAACAATGCAAGTTTCACAAAGCTTCCCCTGCTTACTTCTCAGCAGGATTTGATCCTAGACCCTTAAAGTCCACAGCATGGGCCTCTGCTGCTTGAGCTAAAGGAGTATTAGCATGCAGTTGTAGAAGGCTGTTATCTTCCATGTGGACCAGCCACAAAAGGCAGAGAAAACTATAAAAGCTGCATTTTCTGATTTAAAAAAAAAACTGGCATTAAACAAAAATTCCCTGCCCCTCTTCCTATAACCCCAGACATTATTAAACCAGGTCATTTTTTTACGAGAGAACCCAGGAGTCCTGTGTCCCAGCTCCCCCCTGCTCTAACCCCCCAGACCCCACTCCCCTCCCAGAGCTGGGCAGAGAACCCAGGAGTCCTGTGTCCCAGCTCCCCCCTGCTGTAACCCCCCAGACCCCACTCCCCTCCCAGAGCTGGGGAGAGAACCCAGGAGTCCTGGCTCCCAGCCCCCACTCCCCTCCCAGAGCCGGGGAGAGAACCCAGGAGTCCGGGCAGCAGGCAGAGGGAGGCAGCCCAGGAGCGGGAACGATGAGGCAGGGAAGATTTCCAGGGGACCGGGTTGCCCGGCGCACTGCATCCTGTCCCCGCTGAACAGCTGCTGGCAGCGGGGTGAGCGGATCCTCATCCCGGACCCCAGCGGACGGAGCTTCTGCCCCTCCGGGTCCTGCGGGGGAGGGGGTGTTAGCTTCCCGGGGCCCCGCACCCCTGCCGAAGGGGAAGGGGGTAGAGAGCGGCTCAGATGCAGGGATGAGGCTTTTAAATAGCCCCGAGCACCGCCAAAGGGTGGTGGGATGGGGGGCGGCACACCCCACAGGCGGAAAGCAGCCACGCAGCTGTGCAAAGGGGCTGGGAGCCAGGACTCCTGGGTTCTCTCCCAGCTCTGGGAGGGGAGTGGGGTCTGGGGGGTTACAGCAGGGGGAGGGCTGGGAGCCAGGACTCCTGGGTTCTCTCCCAGCTCTGGGAGGGGAGTGGGGTCGGGGGGGTTACAGCAGGGGGAGGGCTGGGAGACAGGACTCCTCCATCATTCTGGCACTGATAACTGATTCTCTATGGAAGGGCTCTTGTGAAATTTCCCCTCAGCTTGGATCTGCCCCCGCCCGTGTGCACAGAACAAGGCCAGGTTCAAAACCAGGCAGCAGCCTCTGTACCGAGCCCTCTGGGGAGATGTAACAAACTCACCTGTTTCCTTCCCTGCCAGCCAGATTCCCCGTCCCTGCCGTGATCACCGAGATGCAGGGAGAGGAAGAGCCGTGTGTCCCGGATCTCCGGGGTGCTGAGGAACAGGAGAGCCTGAAAGGTGCCCGCAAAGGTGAGCAATGAGTGACACTGGTTCTGAGAACAATGAGCAATGAGTGACACTTGCATCTGAAGAAGTGAGGTTCTTACCCACGAAAGCTTATGCTCCCAATACTTCTGTTAGTCTCAAAGGTGCCACAGGACCCTCTGTTGCTTTTTACTGGTTCTGAGAGTGGCCAGGAGTGAAGGAAACAGCTGGGATCCCAGCAAAGCTGCCGGGAGCCCCCCAGTTCTGTCTCGTCTGGCTCAGTATTGTCCCCAGCAGGTCCCTGTCCTCACGGCAGCCTTTCTCTGAAGGCTCTGCTGGGCCATTGGGGCAGAACCAGCCTGTCCTCTCCCTACTGGGGAAGTGTTTGAGGGAATTAACTTCCTGTCCCTCAGGTTTTCTGCTCAGTGACCAACCCCTTTGCCGCCCCCCCGGGGGGGGGGGAGGGAGGTTGTCAACTGAGCAGACCAACTTTCTGACCAAACAAACCCGAACATCCTTGCCCCACCCCTTCTCTGAGGCCCCACCCCACTCACTTCATCCCCCTTCCCTCGGTCGCTCACTCTCCCCCACCCTCACTCTCTGGCTCATTTTCACCGGGCTGGGGAGGGTCCCTTTTCGACTGGGTGTTTGGTTGAAAACTGGGAACCTCAGGGAACGAGCCCCGGCTGGAGTCTCTCTCTCCCAGCAGGTGGCAGGATGGATGAGGCGTGTTCCCAGCAGCATGGGCCTGTGGGAGCAGATCCAGATGGGGCATCACCTGATGAGGATGCTTCCATGGGAGAAGACCCACATGGGATGCTGCCTGGTGGGAATGAGTCCATAGAAGAGGACCCAGATGGGGCATTGTCCGATGAGACTTTATCCCAGGTTCCAGCCCTGCGGCAAACCTCTGAGCACTCTCCTGGCTCACAAACCCCTTCAGCCCTGGAATCTCAGTGGGAAAAGCCCCCATTGGCACCCACCCAGCCCAGCCCAGCCCCCAAGAAACCCCCTTACCGCGCACACCCCACCATCTGCAGCGAGTGTGGGAAGAGCTTCACCCGGAGCTCCCTGCTGGCCCAGCACCAGCGGGTGCACACGGGGGAGCGCCCCTACCAGTGCACTGAATGCGGGAAAAGCTTCAGCCGCAGCTCCACCCTCATCCAGCACTGGAGGACCCACACGGGGGAGCGGCCCAATACGTGCACCGAGTGCGGGAAGGGATTCAGCCAGCGCTCCGACCTGGTGAAGCACCTGCGCACCCACACCGGGGAGCGCCCCTACCAGTGTCCCGACTGCGGTCAGAGCTTCAGCCGCAGCTCGGACCTCATCAAGCACCAGCGCATCCACACCGGGGAGCGGCCCTACATCTGCCCCGACTGCGGGAAGGGCTTCAGCCGCAGCTCCGACCTCTTCCAGCACCAGCGCACCCAGCGCGGCGAGAAACCTTACAAGTGCACCGAGTGCGGGAAGAAGTTCAGCCGCAGCTCCAACCTCATCCGCCACCAGCGCACCCACACGGGCGAGAGGCCCTACGTCTGCCCCGACTGCGGGCGCGGCTTCTCCCAGAACTCCCACTACACGGACCACCAGCGGAGCCACCGCCATGAGAAACCCTACCACTGCACCCAGTGCGGCAAGGACTTTGGGCGCAGCTCCACCCTGGTCAAGCACTGGCGCACACACACCAGGGAGATCCTGTGAGCCTGGGGCAGACTTTCAACTTTCCGGACATGGACGAGGAATCCCAATGTGGCCTCCTGGGGAACTTGACTCAGTGTTGCCCCCAGGGTCAGCTTGGGTTGGTGATGCCACTAGTCACGGCTGGTCCCTTGGAGGATTTGATACAGTGTATTATCCAGGGTCAGCCTGATTAACAGTGTTACCAGTAGAGTCAATGCTCTTCTCCTGGAGGATTTGAAACAATGCCTCCAGCAGAGTCCATCTGTGTTTCCAGTGGGGTCACACACACCCCTTAACCTGGCACATTTGATACAATGTTTCCACCAGGGTCATTTCTCCTTTCCGTAAATAATTTGATTCAATGTTTCCAAGAGAGTCAATTCTTCCCTGGAGGGTAGGCCAGGGTCGTTTGATGCCATGTCTCCACTGAGATCCATTCTCTTTCCTTGGGTGCATTGATACATTGTCTCCAGTAGAGTCACTCTTCCTCTTTTCAGAGAGCTTGGTACAATGTTTCCTCCATTGTCAATTCTTCTGTCCTGGTTGATTTGATACAACTGTATCCAAGAGGGCCAGTTCTTCGCAGGTGGTATCTCTAGACCAAGGTCAGTGTGATACAATGTCTCCACTCAGGTCCGTCCTAATGACTTTGGGTGAATTGATACATTGCCTCCAGTAGAGTCAACTCTCTTCTCCCAGGGTGACCAATACTCCCCTTGAGGACTGGATACAATAGTCAGATCCTCAGATGGTGTGAATGGCATGGGTCCATTGCAGTGAATGGAGTTCTAGTGATATATATCGGGTGAAGATTTGCCCCAATGTTTCCATCATTAGTTCTTCTTTCTAGGGGGATTGAAGCCAGGAACCTGATCCTGTTCTCACTTACATGGCCATTTTGCATCAGTATAGTTCCACTGACATCAGTGGGGTTGCTGCAGATTTACACCAAGGTCAGTGAGATCAGAATCCACTTGTAACTCATCTTCCATGGATGTCAGTGGGGTCATTCCAGATTCATAGAATATCAGGGTTGGAAGGGACCTCAGGAGGTCATCTAGTCCAACCCCCTGCTCAAAGCAGGACCAATCCCCAGACAGATTTTTACCCCAGTTCCCTAAGGGCCCCCACAAGGATTGAACTCACAACCCTGGATTTAGCAGGCCAATGCTCAAACCACTGAGCTATCCCTTCTATCTCGGCCAGTGAGATCAGAATCTGCCTTGACTTCATTAATATCAGTGGGTTCCCTCTAGATTTATACTGAGGTCTCTGAGATCAGAATCCAGCCCTAACTCCCTTAACTTCAGTGGAGGAGGTGGGGATAGTCGCTCCAGCTTTACACCATCATTAACTAGAGAGGAATCCAGCATCAATTCTGGTTTCCTGGAAGACTTGAGGCTATTTCTGGACAGGTTTGTAAAAGTCCATAGATGACTGGGTATTTTTACCTTGGAGAATAAGTAAGTGGGTTAGGAAATTAGACAATGAGGATTGAAAAGAGGAGGAAATACAGAAACAGCAACAGCTAGATTATGGTGGAAGGAGGTATTCTGTTTATTTCCCTTGCAACACGTGGGGGGGGGGGAGGGAAAGGGGAAGGAACCAGAAGCCAAAGCAACCCCTAAAGGGATCTATGCTTTGGTGGACTGTTGGTGGAATATAAAGAGTTGGGCCCTACCAAATTCACGGCCATGAAAAACGCATCATGGACCATGAAATCTGGTCTCCCCCATGAAATCTGGTCTTTTATTTACTTTTACCCTATACTGTAAAAGTACCTTATTCTATAGGGTAAAAGTACACAGCATTTCTCAAACTGGGGGTCCTGACCCAAAAGGGGGCACAAGGCTATTGTGGGGGATCATGGTATTGTCACCCTTATTTCTGTGCTGCTGCTGGCAGCAGCACTGCCTTCAGAGCTGGCACCTGGCATGCAGCCACTGCTCTCTGAAGGCAGCGCAGAAGTAAGGGTGGTAATACTGTGACCCCCCTACAATAGCCTTGCAACCCCCTTTTGGGTTGAGACCTCCAGTTTGAGAAACGCTGAGTCTTAAGGGCTTTGTGTGTTTATCTTTTGCCATTTTCAAATACATATTCATGTTTTGTTACAGCACCATGAAATTTAAAATTTAAATATCTGAAACGGTGACAGTCAAGATTTTAAAAATGCTATGGCCATGAAATTTGCAGGAATGGACCATGAATTTGGTAGGGCCCTACTAAAGAGGTCTAAATGCTTCTTGGAGTAGGGGGAAATGCAGTGCCTCAAGTCAGTTAATTTACCCCTTCGCCCCTTGCTCTGCAGGAATCATTAATGCACAGTCCCCTTCAGACCCAGCTTTAGAAGGGAGGTCCAAGAAATCCCATTTCAAAAGATGATCTCACTTTCCTTATGGGCTCTGACTGGGTGACTCAATCCTCCTGGAGTGTCTGTGTTGTCTAGGGCCATCTGCGTCTTGCCTGAAATGTTGGGGCCCTTTGTCTGAGCTATCTTCGGGGAACTGAATTTGGGAACCTCTGGATTGGAACAATATGAGCCTCTATCGCTTGCGCTGTACATTAGAAGAAATAGACTCATAAATCTTTGCTCTGTTCTAACCACTAGAGGGTGGTATAAACCCACATTGTGGGTTCCACCTGCATTTTGTGTCTTGGAGTTTCAAATGCTTGTGGTAGAATAACCCACAAACCACACATCTCTGTCTGTGTCCCAAGCAGGGCCGGCTCCAGGCACCAGCGCAGCAAGTAGGTGCTTGGGGTAGCCAAGGGGAAGGGGCGGCACGTCCGGCTCTTCCACAGCAATTCGGTGGCGGGTCCCTCGGTCCCTCTTGGAGGGAAGGACCTGCTGCCGAAGTGCCGCCGAAAAAGAAAGCGGCGCGGTGGAGCTGCCGCCGAAATGCCGCCAATCGCTTTTGCACCCCTTCCCCCCCCCCCGCCACTTGGGGTGACAAAAATCCTGAAGCTGGCCCCGGTCCCAAGCGGTGAACATGAGTCATATATGCCTGTATTAAATCTCCAGCATAATTGCCTTGCATGTGTCTAAGAATGAGGGAGGCAGTTGTTTGTTTTTCTCTGTTTTTTTGTTTGTGCATGTTTCCCATTGGTCAAATGAATGAGTAGAACTTTAAATGCTTGTTTAAAAACATGATGCTTAATCAGCCATTGGAACTCCCTGACACATGATATAATGGAGGCTGAGACTTCGGTAGGATTGAGGAAAAGGATTTATATGGAACATGCGCATATCTACTAGATCAGTGGTTTTCAACCCGTGGTCAGTCCGCAAACTATGTCTAAGGGGTCCGTGAAAGCTTGTTTTGTTGTTACCATAAAACAGTGGTTTTCAGTCTGTGGTCTGCGGACCCCTGGGAATCTGTAGACTACGTCTAAGATTTCCAAAGGGGTCCATAGCTCCATTTGACATTTTTTTTAGGGGTCTGCTAATGAGAAAAGGTTGAAAACCACTGTATGAGGCAAAGATGTCTAAGGGCAGGTCTACACTAGCGGGGGGGGGGTGTCGACCTAAGATACGCAACTTCAGCTATGCGAATAGCGTAACTGAAGTCGGCGTATCTTAGGTCGACTTACCTGGCCATGAGGACGGCGGCGAGTCGACCGCTGCCGCTCCCCCGTCGACTCCGCTTCCGCCTCTCGCGAGCTGGAGTTCTGGAGTTGACGGGGAGCACAATCGGGAATCGATTTTATCCTGTCTACACTAAACGCGATAAATCGACCCCGGATAGATTGATCACTACCCGCTGATCCGGCGGGTAGTGAAGACCTGCCCTAAGAGATCTAAGCCATCATGCCGCTGGGCATAAACCAGACACTAATGTAGCAGAGGGAGGAAGAAACTTTCACTGTGGGTAATTTATTTTATAATGGCCCATGACGAGGTGCACCTTCTTTGGAAGCAGCTGACAATGGCCGCTGCTGGAGACAGGTTGCTGGGCAAGATAGTCCCGTTGGTCTGCTCCAGAGTGACAGGGAGCGGGTGAAATATCAGGCTAGCTGGGCCCATGGGTCTGATCTGGGGCAGCAAGGAGGCAGGATACTGGATCAGATGGGTCCATTGTCCGAGCAGAGGCAGTAATGCCCTGGAATACTGTTTCTGGTCATAAACCTGGTTCATTGTTTGGCCAATATCTTCTCCTCTGCACTGTTCCCAGAAAGGACAATTACTAATTCACCCAACCCGATCCCAATTGAGGGACAATCTGCTAGCCCCATATTCAGCTCATCTGTTTGTAGAGGCAGCAAACTGTATTTCTGCTTCTGTCAGTGTCTGTCATTCTAGTCTGTAGCTAAAACATCAATAAATATATTGAAACAGGAGGGGGCCTGGCTGGCTCAAGGAGATGGGGAATGGGACATGTGGCCTTTCTAGGGGCGCCAGCTCTGGTCTGGACCCAATGTGAGGGGACTGACTGGCTCAGAGGGTGGGGAATGAGATATGGCCCCTTTCTCCTCTAGGGAATGCTGGCTCCAATCCAGCCCCAGGGCAGAGGGAATGGTGGTTGGTGGCGGAGGGTGAAGAATGGGGACTGAGGCCTTTCCACTCAGGGGTGCCCATTCTGATCCTGCTCCATGGCAGAGGGCCTGGCTGGCTCAAGGGGTGGGGAATGGAATATGGGGCCTTTCCTTTCTAGGGAACACCAGCTCCAAGCCAAGCTTGCTGTGACTGACTCAGGGAGGGCAAGGAATGGGATATGGGGCCATTCATTTATAAGACACCAGTTCTAGACTGGCTGGCTCAGATGGGCCAGGGAATTAGAGTATACCCCTTTGCACTAACAAGGAGTATGAGCTTGTCCTGTGTTAAAAATAAGGTGTGTGCTGAGTGGAATATTGTGAGATAAAATAAGGTCACCAACCACCTTTCCCAGAAGAAACAGCTGTCTTGCAAGAAGATGATTTGTGGCTCTGAATAGCGTCGTGTTTTGCAGGACAGTGGAGAAGAGAAAAGAGCCAGTTTCAAGAAGACAGATGCGAGACTGGGCCTGGAGAAAGACAGGGAAAGATTCCTAGAAGACAGGAACAGAAAGAGAAACTGCAGGAGAACAAAATTAGAGTGAGAGTTTGAAGTTAAAAATAATAGGGGTAAATCCCTGCAGAGGAGGTAGCTACAAACAAATATTCAGAATGAAAGCCTAGACTGGAAGTTGAAGGTTCTTAGAAGTGGAAGCTGAGGACTGACAACTCAGTACATTAGTGAGTGGCAAAATTATCCCGTAAGTCTAAGAAAGCAAAGAGTCTCCCTACCTTAAGTGAACTGTTAAGGACACCTGAAACAGAACTGGTAGGGAATTGTCCAATGAATTTTTATATTTGTCAAAAATTACCAATTTGTCAAAACTAAAAAATTTAATTAGTTTTTGTCAATGCTGACAAAATTTTCAACAAATTTATATCAGAACAATTTTTTAAAATGGCTCTTTTATTTCATTTTTTACTTTACTGTTTCACCTCATTCTGACATCAGTTTCCTGTTTCTTTTCAACTTTAGCATGTCATTTTTTCCAACCTGGCGTATTCCTACCCTCCGTTTTCTGCAATGAAGCAGTGGAATTAGAAATCAAAATGACCACTAGTGGCCTTCATCTTCCAAGATGACAGAGGTCAAAACATTTTAGGTTTGACATTTTTGACTCAAAACTTTTCATTTGGACATTTTTTTCCAATCAAAATGTGTCAGATCATTAAAACTGACCCTTTCGATGTTGTGGACACAAAATTATCTTGGTATTTGGTCTAGTGTAACATTTGAAAAATTTAGCTTTTTGTCTCAAGTCACGATAAAACAAAACTCCAAAAATCACAACATTTTCCACAAAGTGGAAATTCCATTTTCCAGCCAGCACTAATTTGAGGGTGAATCCAGAGGTCATCCAGTTTCACCCCAAAATGATTAAAGTTTGGGAAAGTTACAAGTCACTGAAAACAGGGTTTTTTAATAGGGATTGTCAGGAAACCTTAACAATTTTAAAACAGAGCGTGGATAGGTGGATT